ATAAAACAATAAAAGTAAACGGGTATAAATGATACTTGTAAACCTGTTCTAATCATCCTCTATGTACGTATGTAAATCAAAAAAAAAAAAAATTTACACTGTACAATTACTTATATGTTACCGTTAATGATGTAATTTAGACTATAATGTCAATGTCTAGCAAACATTAATGCCTAATACCAGATGACGATGTCATCGTCGATGATGACTAGGCGTTGACATAAAATTGTACAACTAATTAGGGAATATCGCTGGTTTAAAGGTTTAAACATAGTTTACCGTTTACCGACGACGTAGGCGTGTTAAAATTGATTAAAATAATGTCAATGCCCGTCATTATAACATTATGACAGTAATCACATTAATAGTATTTAAACATTTTTGGTAAATATGAACGGTACAAGGAAGAAACAAAGTAAAAAGTTTGGATTAAATTAAAAGTTAATTTTAAAATGTAATAATCAACATAATTTAATTATGTTAGATACGAATAATAGCGATCATTACATTAAAATATACCTAATTTAAAATCCGTCTTTACCTACTTACTGAAAATTGACTTTTTTGCTCTTCCCCTGTACCCTTCATCATATTGTATTTGTAATAATTATTTTTATTATTTATTTTCACTATTGGTTATGCTATAAAATTTCAAATTATATAACAATTTTTTTTTTTTTTGTTTTACAAGCGCATCGATTATTTCTACATTTTCTTATAAAAAAGACGTAGTATAGCCTTGTGGCCCTACGATACCATACCCAGCTGCAGCCTTATTAAGGCTCCTACATGGCCATAAACGTTATTTCCTAGTCGTATAAAGCATAACTTAACCGAAAATATCGCTATTGAATAGACTATTAACGGAAATTCCTTAATTTACGTCACTGACGGTAGATAACATAAATATTTTATCATAAATACTGCAGAGTATCTATTATAAGACTTCCTGAATCGTGAGTAACCTAAATGTTTACCACTAAAACTTAAATATTTTCATAACTATAGTAAAATAATTTTATAAGAGAATAGACTACGTGACGTATAACAATTTGTTTTAATTAATTTTGTTCGGTATTAAATCAAGAAGAGTGATGTTATTATGCCATATTATGATTTCAATTAATTTGAAAAGCCAAGTCGTAAAGTCATACAGTAAACATAGTATATTAATTTTTTTTTTTTTACATAGAGGAGGTTATTTACAGTTTTGATAGTGATTTAAACAAAAAACGGTTTTTCGAGTACCTACTTGAGGATTTTAAGACCTTATTATTGTTATAAGTCCCGAATCCAAAATAATAACTTTTATATTATTTATATCTACGAAATGTTTATTTTACACTTGATCTGATTATTTTCAAATTTTTTATGCACTAATTAATTTAATTGTTATCAACTTTTGTATTTTATTATTTAAGTTCTTATACGGTAATAACGAGTCTTGCGCGAGGTGCATATACATTTAGTATTGGCATGATTATAGGTTTATTATCCTATGAAACAGATGACCACGATAAAATTAAGTGAGGGATCGGATATTAATGTAGCCAATTTATCATTGAATATACATAATAGTATATTTTACAATATATACATGCATATTATGTTAACAAATAAAGTGAGATACAGGACTGTTTTAAAACTGTTTTTTTAAATATGTAGTTACAGCTCCTACTGCTTATGAGCTTGGGCTATAAAACTTTTTTTTCCCGATTTAATTAAAACTGCTTCATAGAAAAAAAAAACTACGCGTTCGTGAGTTTTTTATACCTATATTTCGGAAACGAAGATGACGACTGCACGCGTTTTATACGTGTTTATTATATAATAATCATGTACACCCGCAGGACGATGGGGTTAATAAAAACGTTCCCACGGTAATGACTATGACAAATAAATATAATTTATAGAAACGAACAAAATATCATACAGGGTGTCCTACAGTATTATCCTCATGTTAATAATTCTATCGATATATTTTTTCTTTTTGCAATCAAGTTTTGTGTGAGTGGGACACAATATGTAAACAAAAATTAAATTTTTATTTTCATCCATTAATCACTGAAAAAAACTTTATATTTTTTCACTTATCAAAATGTTCAAAATAGTAATTTCGTAAAATATATAATTTTTCTAAAAATTTTAATGTAGCCGAAATTTATATCCGATCAACAGTTTCTTCATTATAGTGAATGGCTTTAATATATATATGAAATAGACGTGAAAACAATTCATATTCAATAAAAAATAAGGATTTAATGTGCTGATTGTGATTCCTTATCACGTAACATATTATTCTATTAAAAATAAATTGTTTTCACGCCAATTTTGAAAAGTGATAAAATAAGTTATTTTTTTCAATAATTCATAGGTTAAAATAAAAATTATTTTTTTCACATATGTGTTCCTCGTACAAAACTCGATTCAAAAAAAAAAAAAATTGAAAAACAAAAATAAATATTTACAGATTATCTTTATGCTAATAAATACATTGTAGGATATTCTGTATAATTATATGACCATCACGACGACGACGGTAATATTCAATTGGCAAACGTGATAAAAGACCGACCGAGACGGATTAATACCAACAACAAAAAAATGTTTAAATTAATGTATGGATAAAATATTATATGCGTATTATAATGTTATTTCATATGTTACACAATTCTAAATTGTACGAAAAACATTGAATTAAATAATTTTTACAATAATAAAAATATGGTAAGAGTTAAAAAATAACAAAATTTCAAGGTCAAATGCATGTATTGTATTATTTACCTGTTGACAATAATAGTAATAATAGTAAAAAGCTGGCTTGCTGGTTACTTATAATTAGTGAACAAAAAACAAATTTTAAAACGTCTCTATATGTTATTTTAAATTTATACGATTTATGTTTTCTACCAGCGATATTGTTCCTATAGAAAAACGACAACAGAACTTTCTTGTTCTATTTTTAATTTAGTCGGTAAATAATAAAATCATTTATAGATTTTCTTCGTACCTTTTTAATAATTGAGGAGAACCAAAAAAAAACGTAAAAAGAACAGGAAAATTTACGGAAATAATTCTTTCATTGTTTTAAATTTTGTCGTTTTTTTTGTAATTCAATTCGAAATGATCTTAGGGGCTAGAAATTCCTACATAAAATGTATATTTGCCTTTTCTAAACGTGGTAACATTTTCAAAATATTTAAGACATTTTTAAGTTATTTATAGATATTTTAATTTTGCAAGTTTGTACGTAATTTTTTTTGGTTGGTACTTTGTGAATAAAATTGTTTGACCAAACGAAAATGCTGGAAAATTTAACAGGAGGTCAGTCGTACTTTGTGGCCAAAAAAATCGAGCTTAATGCATTAATATCAAATATTGACGAAAATTGTTAATATTACGGCCTTTCTTGTTATAATTCAGTTAATATTCGTAGAGAATTGAACAGAAAACTTATATTGGCCTTTTATGGACGTGATCAAATTTTCAAAATTTCTGAAAATAAAATTGAGCTCATTATAAATTGTACATTTTCTAATTTTTTTTTTTTTTAATTTTAGTGGTTTAAAAATTGTATGGAATCATGTTCATTGTATATATTTCAATGAGCATAAATTAACGGATGATTTAATTGAAACCCCCCTCTCCAAAAAAAAAAAAAATTATATATATAATTTGGTTCAGGCATGCACTAGGACGACGATATTGTCGTCGTTGAGGAGGTTGGTAAAACGAAATGTATACGAATTTACATTTGAATGGTGTGCTATGTCATGGATATAGGTGTCCGTGTTTGAAAAAAACTACACAGTTGGCGAGAGATTGACAGAGAGAGAATAAGAGCGAGAACAAAAAATGAAAAAAAAAACGTCCTTCGGTGTATATACACAGGTATCGATATAAAGTACCTACTTATGTCTTACAATAACGACTAAGTAATTTTATTATTTTTATTATGTTTCGATGGGACGTCTGTAGTTTAATAGGAACCTAATCGCACGATGTGACGTCCAAAACGCGTATACCATCGGCTGTATTTATAGCCGAATAGTTTTTTACGCGTCGATTTTTAGATAAGATTCGTGTGTATATCGAATTCTAAGTAGTATTTTTTTTTTCGTAAACCGACGAGACGTTCGTCAACCTTGTATACAACCAGGATCGTTTAAATAACGATATGTCTCGAACGAACGAAATAATATTACTATCGCGTAGGCGATGCGGAATTTAAAGGGAAATATATCAGCTGGTCGTCGTAAGTATAGGAATGACGAATCCAGGGCGGATAGGGATATTTCCTTCTCCCCCCCCCCAAAAAAAAACCGTAGTATAGTATGCTCTTTTTCTTGGGTTGTGGTAAAATATCCAATACACTATTTGTATATTATATTAATAGTTTCGTTGTTTTAAACCAGTAGTTCCCAATCGGGGGAGAGGATTTAGATACTGTACGGGGGAGAATATCGTGTTCATGAAATAACGAGAATTTTGTTGCTAAAATAAATATGACATTTTACAATCAATAAAATTGAAAACAAATTAATTAATTTTAGTCATGTAGTGTATAATATACATATATGTAGTTGTTTTGTAAAATTAATTGAAATAAAAAGGTCATCTAAACTGTGTAATCTAATTTAAGATGAGGTTTTTAAAAATTTACAAGGGAGGGGGCGTTGAGTAAACAAGATTGGAAACCACTATTGTAAATGGCTTTAACCCCTCCCCTTCTCCAGCAAATCAAGGTCTGGACACATACTGAAGTTTAGGTATTTAAAAAGTTTAAATAGCATAAGAGGTATAACACGTTCAATCTGATATATTCTCAGGATTGTTCAGTCTATAAATTAAATATTAAATAGGCATTAGAAATATATTCGGTCGAAACGGATGAACGGACATGATTGCGAAAAACAAATTGTAAATCGTAAGATTCTGTCTTATAGAAAGTCCGTTATAGAGAGATTTTGCTGTATTATAATTCTTCTTCTCTGACATCACTACTCTTCGAGAATTTTTGCCGCAACCGACACCTCCTTACACTCCCCTCGATTTTGGACTTTTTTCCCCAATTTAATATCCCTAATTTCTCTAAGTTCTGCTTTATTCCATCTATCTAACGCTTCTTTGGACATCCTCGTGGTCTCTTCCCTGTGGGTTTCCACTCGACCGCCGCATTCAGGTACTCTGAGTCTGATCTTCTCATCGTGTATCCAAACCATTCGATTCTTTGTGTTTTCACAAAGTTGATTATCCTTGGAACTCCTGTCATTCTCGGACCTATTTTACGGAAATACATTGTCGGTAAATATCGCGTGACAGTTGAACGCGTTTCCTCGGAAAACAATACCCACCTATATAATGTACGATAGGATACGAAGCGTATGGGATATAGTCGAGTATCGAATTACTCGGCCGTCCGTTTTAGTATTATTTTTGTGTTTAGCCGGCGATTTACTGCCGCGAAACGGATATGGTCCCCGATCTTTGTTTTACATATATCATGCGCGTACATAACACCTAAAATAAACTAATACTATGGGTCGTTAGACACCTCAAGACGAGTAAGACCGATATATCGATTGCGTCTAAAATCATAGCTCAACCTTAAATTCGGGTTCAAAATATGACGCGGATTCGTAACTGGGTAGGAGATTAATCAACGATTAATCATTGCTAATGAAAAACGATTCTGAACGGAATTCGTTTATACATGTTTTGAAAAGCCGTAATATTTGCGATTTGAAATTAATACATTTCGTAAATTTTCCCATTTATCCTACGATTTTTACGATTTTTCTCATTTATTATGAAAACCTCTAAGAAAATCAAAAAATGACCTCCCTAGCTGTAGCTAAAGTATAATAAACTACACTTGAAAATCGAAGCAAAATGTCTGTGTTGCTAACAGAAAAAAAATAAACATAATTTTAATACTGAAAAAAGAATTTAGTGTGTGTCTCAACATAAATTGTGTATTACGTACACGTACTCCCCTCTAATAGCTATACTTTCCTTAAAAAAAAAAAATTATAGAAAAATTATATTTAACTATATTAAAGAAGTAATTTTATATTGTTTTCATTAATGTCTTTTGCGTGTTACATTAAAATGCATATCGATGAAAACATCTTTTTAAATTATCTGGAAGGTCGAAACCTTTCTCTTCTTTGCTTTTTTTTCTCCGTCCGTGTCTCCGGCTAAAACGTATTTAGCACCACTCTCAATTAAAAATCCTTCAATAATCAGCTACGCCACTGATACGATTTGCCGATTATATGATAATTGAAAAGTTCTAATACTGATAATAATATTATGTTATATTAGTTTTTCGCACGGTCGGTTTCTTCCCCGAATTAATAACTCGAACACGGTTACCGAAAACACGGTTATCGATATTGTTGTATTATTATATGTTATAGTATTCTAACAAACGCCCACTGAGCACCGTCGGCCCTCTTCTCCGGACGTCGTTACAGTATTATACTACCGGTGTTAAGTGCACAATCGTAGTTCTATACGATTAATCATATGATTCCTTGTATACGGTTTGTTGTCAAAATATAATTATCTATTGGGTTTCCGTCGGCTTCCGAAAAATTCGGCGCCTCTAACCGGCAATCAATAATCGTCGTCGTCGTCGGTGAGAAAAATCCGAATCCGGTGTGAATTTTGTTAAAACGGCAATTTCGATTGGACAACCGGTTATACACTTGATATTATACAGCAGTGGTAGTGAGTCAAAAACGCTATCGTAAATCGGTGAAAATTCGAGGTTTCGACAGTCGAGTTTTACAAAGTTTTACAAGCATTTTTCACAAGTGGCAAACCTTCTAATAATTTAACTTCTCAACAAAAAACCTGTCTAAAGTGGCATCTGTGTCCGTTATTTTTTATAAACGGAAAACCGGGGGATGGTAAACTTTTGAAACACGATTTCTATATACATACCCGAAAATATAAAACACATAAAACCATACCAATAATAATAATAAAACAATTTGTGGATAATCAATAATTTCGCCCAATTCGAAATCTGAAAACAACATACTTACTCCCTTGTCGTGACACAGCTCGTCGTACAAATTAATTCGGGCGTTTTAAAAGCAAACCACAGTAAATATTTTCAAAATTAAGATTTTTTTTTTCCGCGTAAAATAGGATGTACATGAAAGTTTAAGTAGTCGCACCGATTAAATAAAAAGTGTATAGGAACTTACCAGCTGGCTTAGGAACGTTTCGCTTGACTTGCATCCACTTGTAAGTGGGCACGGCCGTTTGGACGGCTGACGCGGCCACGGAGACGGGCCCGGGTTTTTGTTGTGCGCCCGAACCATTTTGTCTGCAGTGTTGTTGCTGTGGTTGGTGTTGATTGTGATGGTGGTGATGCTGCTGCTGTTGTTGCTGTTGCTGCTGCTGCTGCTGCTGCTGCTGCTGCTGGTGATGGTGGTGATGGTGATGGTGTTGTTGTTGCTGATGCTGGTGCTGGGCGTGCTGTTGCTGTTGCGGCTGGCCACCGCCCAACGTAACGTGGTACGCGGACGCGTCATCGTTGTACGGCGAAGAAGTGTCCTGTCCACCGTAGGTGACCTCTTGTTTGATGACGCGAAGACAGCCGCGGTCATCGCCGGACGTAGAAGTCGGTGTCTGTTGTTGCACGGTGGCGGCCGTTGGTTGCGTTGATGATTGCACCGGTGGTGGTGGCTGCGTGGCGGACGGCGGTCGCGGCTGCTGTGCCGGTTGACGAACGACCTGATCGTTGTGGTTTAGATGCATGTTGAAAAACGCGTTATCCACGGACGCACCACTACCACCACAATAGGATTCACCACCGTTGCGGCCGTTATTGTCTTCCCGGTGGCCACCACCGTAACCGTTGTAACCACCGCTACCGTCGTCCGAGTACGCGCCGTAATCTTGAACGCCGTGCAGGTGTACGGCCGCTGCCACGCCGTTACAGTCCAAGTTCGTGTAACTCAGTCCGTCGGACGACGTGATAATGACGGCCGCTTCGGCCGACTGCGGGTGATGATTGTGATGGTGGTGATTGTGATGGTCGTGACCGTGGCCGGAATGATGATGATGGTGAAGGTGGTTATAACCGCCGTCGGCCGCGGTCAACTGATCGTACGTCCCGTCACAGCCCGTACCGTAATACGACCTGTAATCAGTCACCACGGCCGCGTTTTTTTCGTAGTACACGCCGCACTCAGCCGCGTACGCGGGTTCCAGCGGTGGCCGTCCACCCAAACATTGCGGCATGTCGTAGTCGGCCACCAGTCCACCGCCACCGCCGCCTCCATAATAATCGTCCACCGTGGCCGGTGTGTGTGACGTGTACGCCATCATGTCACTGCCGCCGCCGACACCACCGCCACCACCACCGCCACCGACTATTCCACTGCCGCACGTGTTGTTGTGCATGCCCATGTTGGTCGTCTGCAAATAAACAATATTTTCAAAAGTTATTTTAAAAAATTTGATCACGGGTAGTTATGTCTCTGTTGTAGATGGGTAGTTGGCAAAGTAAAGTATACAAGGTAATTTGGTTTATATACTGTACCGTGTATACGTAACAAGCAAACGGAAAACGATTCTGAATGGAGACACATTACTTATATCAATCTCTTGTTATCAATATAACCCGAAAATCAACATTAATAATAAAAACAAAAAGTACATAAAGGACAAACTGAAATATTTCAAATATTAACTTACCAGTGACACCGTTTAATGTTTGAAAAACATGTTCATACAAAATAGAATATAGTGTCGTTTGTAATAATTTTAGAGATATAACACCCATGAAAAAAAAATATTGATGACAACATTTCCGAGACGTCCCTGTCGGTATTTTACAACAATTTTACAATAAATATCCGATTTGTAATCGAAAACTCGTATTTTATATCTTTTAGTAAATTTAAATTGTTCATAGAAAGTCAGTAAGGGAAAGTAATAGTTCAAAAACCGTCAACAAAGTTGTCTCGTACAAATATGGATTTTTACTAATTTCATAATTCGCGTTTTAACACTAAAACCCTTACAAAAATATTTTATTTTATTTTATGCGGACACGTTTTTGCCATTGAAAATTATCAGTACCACACATATTATACTAGGTATACTAACTATTTTTATTGGCTTAAATTTTTCATCCAATAGTTAAACATATTTATTTATTTACAACAGTTGTTAACACGAAAATGTTACAAAACGCATGAAATATACTTATAAACCAGGCTTGCAACCACCCAGAGCTTGAATCGGATAAATTAAAAAGTGCAGCCACTGTTGTAGGTGGGTAGTTGGAAAGGTGGAATACATAAAGTTATTTAATTTATATCTGTAACCAACGGTAAACTATTGTAAACGAAACAAGATTTGAAGCGAAGTTCGGTTGTACATGTTTTGAAAATATTTATGATTATCGTCGAAAAATATGACTTTAAAACTCTTATAAAAAATAAGATAATACTACATTACACTCATGAGCCTTATCTAACCTTGTATTTTATTTTTTTTGGCCACCTACGACATGTAATGAACTTCTTTTCAAAATTGAAATGTCTATAAATAATTCAATATAATTGCTCAAATGATCTTAAAGTTTTACCACATCTAGAAAAAGTAATATATTTTATACATAGGATCAAGATTTCTTTTCGAAAAAATGTGTCCAGAAAAAAAAATGTTAAAAAACGCACATATCATAGTACAACCAATATATCCCTCATTACATTCCGAATCTAAAAGAAACTATAAGAAAAAATATTTCGTTTTTTGTTGTAATTCGGTTAAAAATAAACGTATAGACCTGAAATGTCACCAAAACTTATATTATCCCTTCTCAGACATTGTACAATTTTTAAAACGTTTTGGCAATTTTTAAATTATTTATAATCATTTGTAATTGTCGAGGTTTTTTTTAATTTCGCGTGGATAAAATTGTTTCGACCCATCGAAAATACTCAACATTTTAATGATAAAATTATCTCTTGCATTTAAACGCGATTATTAAAAACAGAATCAATTATTACTATGTAAGAAATACGACGACAACACATCATGTGATATAATTGTTTATTGGCGGCCCCTTGAGGAGCAACAAACTGTTTATTACTAATCTATTTTCTGCTGCAGTTCAAATGTTATTCGTTACGAAACGCGTTGTACAGTTTTCAACCTTTTTGGCGCCAGTTTGTAATTTATAAAGTCGATAAATATTCTTGTTCGTCCGAAACTATTCTATACGCGGAAATCATTTTGAGTTTGAGAAAAACCACTACACATATAAGAATCGGAAAACATTGCCGAAACAAAGTGAGTAGTGACAATTTATTATTATTATTTTTTTCCAATATATTTTTTACATAATACAATATATAATATCCGTTCTATTCGTAAATGACCTATAACTCCAAAATGGCAAATTTTTATGAAAAACACAAAACGTGAAACACAAGACAAATCTATTCGTGTAAAAGTTCCATACATATCCAAAATGTAATTTTCAAGTGGTAGCAAGAAATGTCCATGGAGATCTCGAGCCGGAAGACACTGCAATATAGATTATACACAATAATTCATCCAGTCGGTAAACAAATCGTGGACGCAGTTCACCTATTCGCTGATATTGCGACATTTTTTTCCCGGACGCAATTCATTAAACGCGCTTTTTTTCCGACCATATTTACTTATAACTCTACAGGGTTCAGAACTTACAGCACTTAAAATAAACAAAAATTGTTTAAACCACTTCATTACAGCCATTAAATAATATTAATAAACAAACTATTCGAAATAGTTTTTTTTTAACCGGATATCAAAAGAAAGCATGTTTAAAATTTCGTATTTAAATTGTTTTAAAACAACACTCGCGGAAAAAATCTTAATAATTTTTTCGAAATCGATCAAATAATAAGTATATACGTAAATGTAAATAACGCATAATATACCGACTGTGTACAGTATAGGTATACCGAATCACTGTAGCATGGTCGGATTAAATTCGGGCACTGCAGGATTTGCAATATCGATGGTCCCGAAAAAGGTTTTTATTATTTCAGAACAAATAAATAATATTTTAAATTTAATGTTTGTTGAATAATTGTAAGTATACAAATTATATTTGTATAAAATGTTATAATTTCATTCGGTAACAATACTTGGACAGTATTTATATCTTTAATTTCAAGTCTGAGGCCCTCTAGTTTTAAAAAAAAAATATATATATATATATAAATTATTTCGTTAGTTTCATTTTTTTTTTTTTTAAAAAGAGGTAAAATTGGGTTATTGATCATTACCATAGTTATTTATTGCATAGTGTGAGGACCAATATTGGACTACCAGGCTATCTAGACCCGGTAAACTCTTAATCCGGTCCAGCGACGCAGATTAATAATTATAATATATTAGTTGAACATTTGTTTGTCTTTACGATTCATCGGGTTTCGACGCATATTATTAATTCGATAAACTTCGGAAAAACTCGTCTCGTTCAGTGTTTTTCAACGATAAGTGTTATCGATATCGTTTTAAAAAATAGGTATAGGTATATAATACAATGATGACAACAATGATTTAATTTGTTTTAATCAGTTAATTTATGCACGTTTATTTTAAACATTATTTTCGTCGGCCGATCGATAAATTATAATATTATAGTGACGCGCATTATAAGGGATCGAAAAAGGGTGAATATTATTTCATTCGAGTTTGAAGTAATTAACTACCCTCAATTTTCGCGTCACCGACTTGTACTTAAGTACTGCATAATACTCGACTGGTATAAAAATATCTCGTTCATTTCAAAATGCATTGTTAATTCTGGCTCTGTAGTAATCGAGATATCTTTTTTAACTCCGAAATAATAATATTTGTTTCTACCATACGTAAGGTTTTCCAAAGAGTTTGGTTTCCATTAAAACGTGTCTCGAACATAATATACAGAGAAATTTAACACGCCTACACGATATTAATTTGTAAGTACGTTTTTACTTTGAAACCTATCTTAACGGTCACCTGTGTATAGCGGACATCTCTTAATGGGCAAATAATATGTTCCCTGCAAAAATATATCAATATTATATCCTATTTCCATATGTACTTCAACATGTCATAATGGACTCATACAATATAATTTTTCTAAAATTTACAATTTTATATTAAACTTAAAAAAACCAATGGGTTTGATGTTCGATCGATTATACTTTTTTTGTCGACGAAAATGATTATCCGATCCAAATGGAAAAAATATTTTAAATATTATGTTCTATTTTCCTATTTCAATCAAAAACGAGCGAAATTCTGTTATATATGTGTATATTTACGATTCTTGTCAAAAATTTGATATTATAACTCTTAAAAAAATATATGCATTACACAATTTTTTTATTTCATTTTTTTTTCGCTCCTAACGTCATTGCTTTGTTGTGTATAACAATTGCAAACAATTAACATTTTGAACATTTTTCTTACGAAAAATTGGCAGAGCAAATAAATTAATATACTCGTGGGGTATTAATATGAATACAACATTTTTTTTAAAGGTTCGATCAAACGATTTGTTTATTATCTCATTATTCGTTAGAAATCGGCTGAAATAACGGTCACCCAGGATAGCGTAAACCTACTGAAAATAAACATAATGTTTTGAAGGTTGAAAGTTTTCCAGTACTTTCTGCATTTTTTTTCGGTTTTACTCAATTATTAAAAAAAACTACAAAGAAAATCAAAAAAAAACTTTCTTGGTCATCAACGAAATTAAAAATTCAACAAAAAAAGGTCTGTTGTTATTTTTCTATTGGAACAAAATATTTTGTAGAAAACATAACCGTAAAAATTTTGTCAGTTATCATTTTACGTTTTCTCCGATTTTTCCCAATTATTGATAAAATTACAGAAAAAAAAGACGTCCTAGGATAATGGAGACGGATGCAGCCATTGTTATAGGTAATTTAATGTATATTTGTAATTAATATTAAACCATTTCTTAAAAAAAACCTATTCTGATCGCAGTTCAGTTGATAGTGATGCTCTGTCAACAATATATATGTCACATTATAGTAAAATTATTATGTAAGCATTATATATTTTCTTTTATAATATTTGTTTATATTGTAACGATAATCCCGTTTTTTTGTAGTTTTCTCGCTTTTTAACATTTACTAGGAAAACTCTTGGGAAAATCGAAAAATTACATCCCTGAAGTACTTTTCCAGTCAGATTTCCTTTCAGAAAAAGTGCTATTATTTTAAATCGAAGAAATATTAAAGCAATATTTATTGCTGGTAGAAAAGTTTTCTCAAAGAACCAAAGGATATTTTGTGATTAAAATATTCCGAGCGAGAGATAGCTTGGGTCTCTACATACACCCAAAATGGATTTGTTTTTACTTGTTTAGATAAAAGGGGGAAAAATGCAAACAATTTTTTTCATAACATAGAATTATTTAACATAACATATAATATCCACATAATATCAGAACTTCAAAAAGCTATAATTTCGAAACTTAATCAGCCCGCTTAATTCTGGCTCTTTCATCATTTTTAAATCGGCAATATACATATGTTTGAAAAAAAAAAAAATTGATAAATTAGATTTGTTCCGCATAATGTTTTACTCAAACGAAATTTGATAATAAAATTCTCTTATAAAAAAAAAAAATACTACATCAAATTAATTTTTTATTTTCACTACAAATTAAGACAATTAATGAACCTATTAATACATTTTCAAGCATTTCTGTTCAAATCTAAGAATTTTACCACAGAGTACCTACCGAATAAAAATTACGTACAAAACTTTCAACATTAAAATGCCTATAAAAAGCCTAAAAATTACTCAAATATTTTGAAATTTTACCGCGTCTAGAAAAGCCAAATATAAGTTTTCTGTACAAATTTCAAGTTTCTACAAATATGTTTAACTGAATTACAACGAATAACAAAATTTAAAAATAATAAATTATTTATAAAATAATTAAATAAGCATTATTTTCGTGAATTTCTCGTTTTTCTTACGTTTTATCCTGGTTTTCCCCAGATATTATGAAATCCGCTTGGAAAATCAAAAAATTGCCTCCCAAAAGTACCATTTGAAAACATTCCCTTTCAGATTATGGTGCCACGCGTATATATCTGAGGAAGATTTCTGGTAGAATTTTTATACATAGGATAAAAAAATAAAATTAAAAAAATTAAACATCGTAATAAAACCAATGCATTCTTCGATACACTTAGAATCTAAAATCAAAATATCGACTTTCTTCCTTTCAACAACTAGATTAAAAATGTAACAAAAAAAGATATTTTATCGTTTAACTATTAGAGCAATATTTCTGGTGGAGAACATCGTGTTAACATAATAAAAACAAAGAACACGGTAACGCCTTGGCGTGCTGTAATTATAACCACCTCAGTGCACCAACTAGACAAAATTACCTTTCAGAAAAGATTCTACGGTCTATACTTCGGAACAAGTTTTTTTGACAGAAAAGTTGTTGACAGACACAAAAAATACAAAAAAACGCATCGTAATAAAACCAATAGATCTCTAGCTATACGCTCCGTATCTAAAATAAATAAGTTTCAGATTATTTCGCGAATTTGTCTACCCTTAATATATTATTCACCCTATACTATTATTCTCCGATAAAAAAAAAAACGTCAGAGTTTTCACGCTTCACAAAACGAATTCGGTTGTAAACTATACATTATATATTGGTAACCGTATTACCGCACAATGTCGTTTTTTTTCTTTTTGAAATTGATGTGTATTCTGCGTGTGATTTTTATTTGTTTCGTTGTCACGCGGATGAGACAAATTTCGCGTAAAGTGCCTATTACTATTACACGGTCAGACTTTATCTGTTTCTGATCTCGACTTTCAAAAAAAAAAAATAATAAAAATAATAATAATAAAAATTGTTTTTTCGACACTTTTCGTAGTGGTAAACTTTTTTAATAGAAAAGTTTTGTTGTAAGACAAGCCTGTCGGAAGAAGTGAACTTTCGATTTGTTTCAAAGGGAGAAGCATATTATCATTATAAAAAATATAGGAGTTTTCGTTTTTTTTTTCACAGAGTAAATTATTTATTATGTTACTTACATTTGGCCACGTACATTGCTAGTAAGCGAAAACTCGCTTGGCGCAAAACTAAATTATTAAATTGGGACCAAGGAATTTATAAGGCCTGATTAATACTAAAAGGATTCGAAAAGATATTTCTTTTCTTTATCTAATGCATCATATACGTAATTATACGAGTACAGCAATTTAAAACAATTTTCAGTGCATGTCCGATCGAAGAAGACACGTATTTGAAGGGCAGGTGATATAAGTAATTGCCCCTATCCCCCAATGCCCACATCATAGTTTGTCTATTTAAGTACTGTTCAAAACGAAAAACGATTCTGATCGAAGTTCGGGATAAGTATGTAGCAATAAAGTGCTAATATATGACATAACTTAAATTTTTTCACTAAATGTAACTTATTATTAAGAACCAGAAAAAGCTTAGAGACTTTAAAATTTGAAATAAATGATTTAAATAACGCGAGAATATTTTTAAAAATATACGACATATAGAAAATACTAATACTTGCAGTCATGTATTCGATGAAAATGTCAGTTCTCTACGATTATTTTCACTATATTACAACATAAATATTCCTGGTTTCCTGTTTTTTTTTTTGTTTCCAGTTTTCCCCATTACTAAAAATAGTACCAAAATTCAAAAAAATGATTTTCCCGACACATTAATTAAAACTAAAGCAAGATTACTGGTAGAAAAATTGTTCTCGCAAATAATACTTTATTAATTAATTATGGAAGGATATTAGACTATTCAGAGAAAAATAAATTATCCTACATTTAATTCCTAAGTAAAATTCCAAATATGTGCTTGGATTGATAAAGTGAAGCAGTACGAAAAATATTAAAAAACATACTTGATTACAGCGTGAAGCATATAATATGAAATCGGCTATGCCACCTTTTCGAATTCAAAAATATTAAAAAATGTACATAAAAAAAATAACTGAAGTAAATTTAGTAATGTGTTCTGGCCGATCTCGTGAACGCTTCACATCCCTATTTTCTATAATAGATATCTTATAGCAATAAAGCCTATACATAGGCGAATACACTCTACACAAGTGATTTGGGAATTCTCAGAAATAAATCAACTAGCTGTTTGAATACGACTATTCTGCAATATTATTGGTGGACATCGAATAATAACGCGGTCAACACATAGTTTTATTTTCTAAAATTATTTTGCGATACTGAATGGTCGATGCAGCTTCCGTTGCAAACGAGTTAATAAACGAGACCTATCATATTAACAGTTGATTACCATTAGCTTTTATTAAACCTCGAGAAGTGTTTTCTAATGAAACATATTGTGATAATAGGTATACCGAAAGAAATAATGTTTAATATTTTATGTAAAATTAAAATTCTGTCCGTCTATCTGTCTGCCATATAAATCTACTAACTGTTTTATTCTGATCTTGACGGAACTTTGCACACTTGAAATGCAAACCAAGAGAGGGAAATCGCTGTCTACTTTTATCTCGAAATTTAATTTATAAGGGGTGGCTCACCCTTTTTGATATTTTAATATGAAAAATTTAATTTTTTTTTTTTTTTGTGATTTCTGGGTTACTTATTGATGATACGAATTGAATAAAAAAAAAACAAATAGAATTTAATTTAGTTGTCACAGACAAGGAACTATAACCCTTGTTAAAAGACAAATTATCGAATTATAATAATTTACTTACTGTGATTGGGGTAATGGTGGAACGAGATAACACGTTAAATTGAATTTATTTTGTTGATTTCTGTTTTAGAAAAGATTGAGCACAGACAATAACTGGATAATTCAGCTATAATATTTATAATTTATAGTTTTCATTAAGTTTAATGACGCGTGAAAAAGAACAGAAGTTCATGATATATGTATTGAGAAAAAATTCAACTACGATAACAAAGTAATGGGAATATAATTATTTTATTTCATAAAAGTACAGGCTGAGACCCAAAAAACATCATGTGATTTATATAAATATGATAATACATAAATAAAAACCCCAGCTGAAATTTATCGATAGTTAAAAGCGGGGTCCTCATTAGCAAAACGCATAAGACGGTAGAGTGGAGAATTTATTATATAGTTTTAAGTGGAAAATGGAATTACAAAGGGACAAGTAAATCTGGTATTACGAGATGAAACTTTAAAATTTATTTGAGAAAGAAGTGCAGGACAGTTGATTAAATTAGATAAAAGTTTAGATAGAAATGATAAGTTTGCAGATATCCTATGGACAGTAAGGCTAGGTAAATTTAAAACTTTGCAGATGGGTATGAACCCATCATAATCATATAGAGGAAAAGGAACTTTTAAAAAGTAAGCAGAAAATTACAGACATTTTCGTTGAACCCTTTTAATCGCTATGGTATCTATATACAAATGTGGGTACCAAAGGACGAATTCATATTCCAGGAAAAGTCGGACTAAAGAGCAATAAAGGATTTTTAACGCACGGTTAAATTTGTCAATAATTATTATTATATTTTATTATCACGAGTACATTGAACGTACGGTGATTTTTTTTTTTATCATGATCCAGAGATTATTATTATTATCTATACAAATTTTAAGTGAAAATGATTTTGGATTTTAGTGTTTTATTAGTCATTATTAATTTACGAGTAAAATCTTTTAATGATATCTATCATAATATTTAGTACATACAATATTTTCAACGTTTTACTCTTATTTCGTTAACCCTAAAAAATATCAACTTTTGATTTTCAACCGCCTCTTTAAGAACATATTTTTTTTTAGATTCGGAGCGGAGCGAATATTGATTTTACTAAGATGTATGATTATTTTTTCTGAACAACTTCGAACAACTTTCGAACAACTTTTCGAAAATTCTTATCTAAAACAGTAGCACACCCATCTCCAGTATCAGATCTTTATTTTAAAATTTGTGTGCATAACACTAATATTGAATTTATCTATTGGTGTTCGAATTTGAAGGGAAGAGGTTTGGGGGTATTACGTACCCCAACGAAAATTCAGAGATTGTAGCATACCCCTACTATAACCACCCTCAGATTTGGTTGACCACTGCGGCACTGCTGCAAAATAATAATGATAATAGCAATAATTTTTCTCCCTACAAGTATGTACTCGTATAGTATTATATTTTGGTTTTTGATATAATATAAAATGTTTAATGGACATATTTTATATTCCCTACGGGACTTATTCACCACCGTACTTTGCCATTTTTAAATGAGTCTTCTTTCCCAAAATTAATCCGATGGGTGCTCAGTTTGTCTTATATTATATAAATATTATAATAATGACGAAGGGAATTTATCAAGTGACGAGAAAAACGTACCGTATCCGTTTGGATTCTCCTCGTGAGGGGTTTTGAACGTATTATTAAATTGCAAAGGTTTTATTGTAGGTATAATACTTATCAATACGAAGCAAACACGAATGTAAGATTATTTATTTATTTTACGTTAAAACATAATATTCTTAAATAAATAACGATATATTAGTAAAATTATTAAAACGGGTCTACACGAGGGAATTTTCACATAGTTTGACTTCGTGCCGTGTGACATAAACGTATCCAAACCACAATATTTCTCGGTAATATTCATATTTAATTATTACAAGCACTTTATAGAGTTAGTCGTTTGCAAACATCATAACAGGACAAAATACGCCGTGTGATTATAGGTAAACTACAAAAATCAATAAGTTTTCTATTTTCTAAAATTACAAATTATTAGTGTACAAATTACGATCAAATATCCACTAAATTCAAAAAGAATTGGATTTCTAAAATGTTTAAATATAATTTTGTTTTTATTTTTTCATTTTAGAGAGTAAAAAAATGCAAATAAACAGTGATAGCGTGGAGACTTCGACATGTGAAGATGTGAAAGGCGAGAATAAAAGTATATAGTCAACCCAACGTATTATTGCGTGTAATAAAACCGATTACGAAAAAGATCAAAATGGTGATGATTAAAATCTGATTAAAATTTCATTGCGTTAACACGCGTTATCTTCTTAAAACCGAATAATAATAATGTTTTAACATTAACCCTAACCGGCCTATCCCCTGTAACCATAAATTTGTTTATGCTTTTCGTATAGAAATAAATTTTCCTATATAGTGTAGGTATATATTATATTAAATATTAATTATATATATTATGTGTATAAAAACCAGACGTCACGGATATCGTATTTGTATCACGAACTCTTTGGAAAATAAGAAAATATGTTTTATGAATGTAACTTCTCCGACAAACTCATAATATATATTTGAACTTAAGGTTAAAACGAGTCGAATTCACTTTCTGGAATAATTACGATAATATGCTGACCAATAACATTAAGAGATTAAGTCAGTTTGGTCATTTTAAATAACATAAATATTTTTGATTTCGATATTGATTTTTATTATATTTCACGTAATTTTAGTGGTATAGTGGTACACGCCGCTGTAACACAAGCAAATATAAATTTTATGTTATACTTCCCTATACATTATCATGTTTACACCAAAAACAAGTTTGCCCTTTTTAGGCCTATAATATTATAGCTATAGATTTGGCCTATATCAAGTATCACTATCGATTAAAATCAGATAATTATTTGATTGATTCGATTGCCTATACATATATTATCAATTAAAATATTATTGCTATTATTACTTGATAGATAATAGGCCTGTTCATCGATAACATCACTTCGTCGTCCTGCAGTGGCGATAGCGGCGGTACATACCACCGCTACGTGTGCTGCGTTTACCACCGGACGGCTATTGACTCTTAACTTTATGCGATCGGACGAAAAAAAAACTACTTGCAGTATGTATACGGATGAAAAACTGAAAAACAAAACAACTTTACCGGCTCAACGCGAAATAGTCCGCACGCGGGCGTAACGCATCCCGATTAAACGCGCGCTAAAATGTATGTACACCGTTCGAACACTTATATTATACCTCGATCGTATACCGGTCGCGGTTTAGCGGTTACTGACACACACACACACACACCGCGGTCGCTGCGACTGGATATGGGTACACGCGGGCACTGTATGTCGCTATACACGCGCTCGCTAACCACTACTGGTTGCGCGTGGCGAACGCGGTTACCTTTCTTCTCCTCCGCGACGAGAACTGCGCCGAGCTCAATACGACTTAACCGGCGCGTGGAGGCGGAGTCGTCGTCCGCGGGACGGCCAACCCCGTCGGGTCGTCGGGCCAATGGCCGTCCGCCTCGCTAGGTCCACGGGCCCCAGCATCACAGCCGGCCGGGACGCAGAGGGGATGGCCGCGGGGCGATCGATCGTGCGCGGGCCGCCGTTTCCGGACCAATGAGCGGTCACGCACCCCTCCCTCCACAACCCTCCCAACACACCGCACTACCAACAAAATATTGTTCTATTGTCGTCGTCGTCGTTGTTATTGTTATTGTGATGTATTCGCGGCCGCCGCCAATGACCCACTTTTCACCGGGTCTTTTGTCCGCCAGCGGTCGTCGCGCCGCCGGTGACGGTTTTCGTCGCGCTGTATAACGTGTCACTATTATATTTCAGAGCCGCGGCATTGTGTAGAATTTTTGATTTTTTTTCGATAGGCTTTTACGAGGACGGCGAGGCGTATGCATACAACACCCACACCGGCGACACCTTTTATATCAAATAATAATACATTTTATTGAAAACGGAGCCCGTCGTCAATGCAGCACAAGTGTGAGTGTGTATGTGTGTGTATGTGTAGAAACTTTTTGACGAGGGGATATAAAAAAAAACATAAAAAGAAACACATTTTATGGTATTATTATTATAATACGCGTAGTCGGTTCGTAACGGTTTTTATATAATATCACAGGTATACCTACGCCAAACGGAAAATCGGATTTGTATATAATACAATATAAAATCGTGTATAGTCTGCAGTGTGTAATGGTTATACAACTATTGTGTTTTATAAAGGCGAGTACACGATTACAATATAATATTTTATATGCATATTTTTTGGAAAAAACCTTTTAACAATTTGTAGACGCGCGAACGAAACATTTTCGGTTGTTAAACATAATATAAAGTTATATTTAGTGACTTATTTGGAAGGGGGAGATTACAGAGATATGTCTCTCCTCTGACCTTTTTTATCATCTAGGTATTATTTTCACGACTAGGTATCACTATTTTTAAATTCGACTTTCTTTACTTTTGAGTTAGAAAAATTAAAAAGTTGGTGAACATTTAAGTATACATTTTAGAATCTGCAAAACTAGGGATTTATTTTTCTTAAATGAAACTTAATTCACACCCCTATAATCATAATGTGTAAATAGGAGGTTAGATTATTAAATAATAAATATATTTTAATTATTACTCACCTATACAGGTTTATCTTGAGATTTGATTTCAATGATAATTTCAGGACAGAATATTGAATTATAAATAACAAACATATAAAAATAAAAGACGGATCCTTTTTATTTATCCTGGCTACACACGTTATACAATGTAAAATAGCTTTTAACTTCAATGTATCCCTCTTTTGAAAATCCTAAATATACCGTTGCTATATGTATTGTTTATATGGGCATATGATAATCGGAATAATAATCCTTGTGAAAAAAATCTCGGGCGTGAAATATGAGAAAAAAAAATGTCTTCCCATTTTTTTTTTTTTTTATTATTCAATACTGTCGATATTTGACTGAGTTCGATTATAGATATTCCCGTTATCTTCTCTACACTTTATCGAAACCTGTTGTGGTTTTTCATTTAAATTTGTGCGCACAGTGAACATCACGCTATAACTTCCATAATGGAGCAGAATCAAGGTCGGGTCAACACAGGTAGGTTAGGTTCTTCCATTCCTCTCCTGATTTTTTTCTAAATCCGGTTTTGATATATTTCTTCGAATATATAAATTTATCGATACCTAATCCAAATATTTATTTTAGATTCTGAGTGGGCCGAAGAATGTATTGATTTTACAACAATCTTTTTTTTTTTTTTTTACTTTTGAACAACTTTTTTTCTAAACATTTTGCTCCGAATTTTAAGTGAGTATTCTTTTTTGAAAATATGGATTAGAGTGATACTTTAGGGGACGAAATGTATTATTTTCAAATCGTAAATATTACGTGGCCTTTCAAAACATGTATAACAGAACTCCACTCATAATCGTTTTTCGTTAGCAAAGGTTAATCGTTGCGCACATATACATACATTAAATTTCTTCTCTACCTTTCCAATTCCTCACCTACAACAGCAATTGCCCATCCATTATACAAAGTATGCCCGTTTGTTTTTTTTTTTTTTTTGTGATAGTGCCAGAAATTATTTTCCTATGCAATCAGGGGATTTATATTCCACGATTTGTTGGATAAATTTCAATATCATGTTTCGAACAGAAAATGTTTTAACTCTCTTTACTATCTTGTTATTCAAATGCTAATAATTCTGTCAACATTCATTTTGTAAAAAATTTTTATTTACAATACGTACCTATGTATATCCAGATATCCTTATAGATGTTATTAATTTAGAACATTTTTATAATGTTTATTGATTAAATTATCTATATATATATATATGTATATATAAATTAATGTTTGTCTGTATGTTTCTTATGCCTTCCTAAACTGTTCATCCGATAGCCATGAAACTTTGGGCAGTTGTTGAATATACTTCCGTAAAGATGTCTGATATAGTGCATCAATAAAAATCCTTCAATAGCTCCACTATCGCCCGCAAAAAAACTTGTTTTAGGTACTTTAGGTACAAAGATGAAATAATTTGTTTTTATTTATGTGTCACCTTATTTGTAATAAACGGGTGTAAAAATAGATATTATTAACTGAGTTGTTATGGGCAATTTCTTATTGTGTCTATGGTATGTATTCTGTGAGTGTGTTATAAGTAACTACGTATTTTTTTGTCGTATTTGTAGAGAAAATGTTTAATTTTAATTGCCGAAGAATAAATCAATATTGTTTACACTTCAGTTCATATAGGTGACATAAGACATACGTAAAACATACATAAGACATATATATATATATCTTCTTTGATTTTTCGAATACTGCATTGTAAACAGTTATGCTCCCCAAACGGAAATCGATTAGTCAATCTACATCTGAAGCACAGAAGAAAAAAGCGTTACAAGCAACGGTGAGCAAAATTAGAAAATTATACGAATCATTATTAAAAAAAAATATTAAAAAATTCACATTATTATATTATTATATTAGTATATTATACATATGTATATATATATAAGCTATCCTACCCGGCATTGCCAGGGCCAATTTTTTTATATATATCATATAAAACAAAGTGCAATTTTGATTTCCGGGGTAATCTCCGAAACTGTACTCATTCAATCGTCATGTATTTTTTTTTTTTTAATAATACGTAGTATATCGTGGAGAAAGTTTTAAGCTATTGAAAACATCGGCTGATCAGTAGAAGTGGTAGACGACCCAACCTGCAGTAATAGTGACGGAGATTGAAACAAGACATTTAGAGGCAAATCGTTTTTATATACACATTTATTTGGCACGGCCAACGCCAGACGAGACAGCTAGTAACATATTTTATAATTATACCTGACCATATGAATAAATATGTTAAATATATGAGGTACTAGTATAATATGTAATAAATATTCGTATTTAACATAAATTATTATTATTAATCAAGTAATAACTCGGCGGTGTAAATTAATTTTATTTTTACTAACTAACAACTATATTATTTTAATTTATAAAATATTCTTCATTTGTAGCATAAATTGTTAACTATTTCATAATATTATAATATAATATAATAATAAATAGTATATTAAAAAAAATTTATTTTTTAATATCAATTAATATTATACTTGGATCATGTTATTAGTTTATTCTTTACAAACTAAGTCTAACTAGACTTGAGATATCTACTAACCGGGTAGGACATCTAAGCCCTATTGATATGTTTATCGTACCCAGTGTCATACAGATAACAGAATCGTAAAAATAATCATTCAATTGGTAACGAACAGTATATATTAACTTAACTAATATAGTATCAACAGAGCAAGACTTACAAATTACAGTATAACAGCCGTCTTATAGCTATCCGGAGTCTTTTTATTGGGTGTCCACAGATAACCGCCGTGTATTATAACTTTACTATACGAGACGGTCCTTCCGATATTATACAATTGTCTGATGACGCTATCAGCATTACTGCAGCCTTCGCGTATTTATTATACCATGTTATATGAGAACGAACCTTAAAAAAGTTTTTAAAATGTTGAAACTCGTGTATTTATATAGTTGTGCAAATAGTAAAATAATTGCAGTTTCAGTCGCGTTTATTGAACGCGTTAAGTAACAGTGCGTGTGCCGGAGGATTATAGGAAAATGACTATGTCACTGGATCGTGTTTCCGTTTATCGCGTCTATAGTAGCGTTATACTATACATAGTAATTAAACTCGCGACCCCTGCAGTTTATAATATATAGGAGAGTCATCGTCAAAAGCCTGAAGCTATATATATGATAGACGGGACGGGGTTTAATTAAGAGCGGTTATTCGGCACCGAAGGGGTCCGACGACGACGGGCCCGAAGTCATAAATTAATGTATACAATAAGCCCACATTTCGTCGTGACAAATTGGCCTCCTGTCTTTAAACCGCGCGGTAAATCGTACAGTCAATATAATATATTTCACGTCCCTTTGGCGTCAATAATATTTGTATATATAACCATTTATAAAACTTGCAGCTATTATATTTACACGCGTACTCTTGTATCTATATAAACTCCGTAACGCGCATTTTTGGAAATAGTTCAATCAAAGCTGCATAATATCCTGTTTATCATATAAAACTACAGTACTAGAGTATGTCTCTTTAGTCGAACCAAATCGAATTTACCGCGTGTTTAATTCGGTAGACTGTTTAATATATAATCTTTTTGCTTACGGCTCTGAAGACCATATTGTACCATGATGCCAAATAAATTTCACTCCGCCGTTCTCAATAATACTATAATATATCCGCCTCTATATATGTAGTTTGAGTAAAATTAAATGTCGATAAACGTTTCAAATAAAGTACTACCCAGCAGAAATCCTACATATTCTAAGGCA